TGTAGAAGAGACATGAAGAAGAGGGGACACATGTTGATGTAGAAGAGACATGAAGAAGAGGGGACACGTGTTGATGTAGAAGAGACATGAAGAAGAGGGGACACATGTTGATGTAGAAGAGACATGAAGAAGTGGAGTTTCATAATAGGGACCTTTAAAAGCTGCTCCAACACCTGATGTCTCTCACTGTGTACCTGCGGAGTGTCTCACCTGTGTGTCTCCAGCCCAGCTGTTGACTCAGCAGATCCACCTGGACAGCAGCGTCTCTCCGTTCTGCTGGGTCGCTCTGACAGCCCACCTCCCTCCTCGTCTCCTCCCTCCTCGTCTCCTCCTTCCTCTCTTCATGTGGACTCTCCCATTGGCAGCCCACCTCCCTCCTGATCTCCTGAACATCAAAGACACATCAGCATAACCATCATTTTCAACGTTGGACTAAATCTATTCTGTCTCAAAATAGTCAAATGTACAGTCTTTCAATTACGACCAGAGAGACAGACAGGTGAGAGACAGACAGGTGATAAAGAGAGACAGACAGGTGAGAGACAGACAGGTGATAAAGAGAGACAGACAGGTGATACAGAGAGACAGACAGGTGAGAGACAGACAGGTGATAAAGAGAGACAGACAGGTGAGAGACAGACAGGTGATAAAGAGAGACAGACAGGTGATAGAGACAGACAGGTGATACAGAGAGACCGACAGGTGAGAGACAGACAGGTGATAAAGAGAGACAGACAGGTGATAGAGACAGACAGGTGATACAGAGAGACCGACAGGTGATACAGAGAGACCGACAGATGAGAGACAGACAGGTGATAAATACATTTAAAAAACTTACCGAAAACATCGTAAAGTTTCCCGTTTTTCGGCTCCAAAACCTAACTTAGAGGTTAAAAGTCGGTTCCTTCCACATGATGGCGGTTTCTCAAAGAAGGAGAGAAAGTTTGTAGTTTATAACAAGTAAAACTTAAAGAGTTTAAAGCATTTAAAGTTCCGTTTTTAAGATTTATAAGATTCCACTTCGTCTCAACAATGGAAGTTCTTCTTCTGTGGTTTCTAATAGTGACAATCCTCCAGAAAAGAGTGCCGGCCGTTCAAGTTAATGTCCGTAGTGGCCAAACAGTGGAACCACAGCTTCCGTGGTCCAAAGAAGCCGAGGGCGCGCATCGGTACCGCGGATTGTTGTTTGATGGAGGCTGATAAACAGTGTCTAGATAGTTCACTAAAGTTATCTCAGCGGGTCTCAAACGGTTTGGTCACAATTTATGTAAACAAATATTTCCAATGCACTCCTTTATAATTATTAGGATACATAAAAACAGGTTTGAAATCATTCCAATGTATACTATAGGACAGTAAACCAAAAATATAGTTTAAAACTGGAGATATTAAAAAATATGCATGAATAAATGTTAACTGGTAAAATAAGATATAAATGAACAACAAAAATAAAATAAGCTACATTTATTTGTTATTGGCTATGGTAGGCTATTGCTTATGTTCACATACTTATTTGATTATTAAAATGCAAACCGATCTTTTTCATATGGGTGTTTAAAGTTGTACCCCCTAGATCTAGTCTCTAGTAATTCTGCTCAAAGTGCACCAGATTGAAGCATTATACTTTAAATTGTTAAAACAAATCGTTCCGGGGGGCATAGCCCCGGACCCCCCTAGAGGATGTCACGTCCACCCCCCAATTAAAGCATGTTCATACAATAATGAAAACATTTGAAACCTTCTTTGTGTATATAACCAACAATAAAATGTCAATACATTTCAGTTTTTGTAGTGTATTGGTCTTTTGTAGAGATTTTTCATTTATTCTTTGTATATTCTATTTTGTATTGCTTGGAGGAGGGGGGGGGGCACCAAATCATAATCTCGCCTAGGGCACCAAAATGGCTAGGGCCGGCCCTGATTAGAGGTATATGTTGTAATTGACATATTATAGTGACAGCGTTTTAAACTAAGAAATATTTTTATTATATGTTGCCAGTTTTTAATTCTACCTAGATCCACTAATAACAGAAAGTCGGTGTTAACGGTGTCTTAAAGGGGATTTATTGACAGCAGCTCAGTATCAAACCACAGATGATTTATTAACATTCATTAAAACTCAGCTTGGCCACAAAAATATGATTTCAGTGTGACAGTGTGGAAATCTTCATAAAACTAAATATCTGTTGGGTCTTTTTATTCTCTCAGACAAAGACTCAGTTTAATGTGCATAGATTTAACATTATAATAAATATGATCTGCTTTTCTTTACAAATATAAACGCTCTGAGTGCAGAAGTATATGATACAGGCTGTTGAACAAACACTCTCTGCGATGCTACATTGCTAACAGGCTAACAGCTAGCTACTCTTCATTTTGAGGTCTTGAGAAATCCTTAAAAAAAAAAAAACGAACCTGGTTGCTTTTTGGACAATAAACAAGTTCTTGATGGTAAACGTTTAAAATAAATCGCAGATTTTGGTGCTTAGCTTTCTCCAGACCGCCATGCGCTGGATGAGACTGAGCTAGCCTGCTAACCGTGTATTAGCATAACGGGCTAAAACAATTAAATAAACAATATATTACAGGTGCACCTCAAGAAATTAGAATGAACTTTTCCAAGATAATCTAATTTATTGAGATGTACCTGTAACTGGCTACTGGCTAAGTGGTTGGTGGCTAGCAGCTATCAGGAGAACAGGACAACAGGCTCACAACGTAGCATGCTATCAAGCGAGCTATTTGTAGCTGCCACTGTTCATTAGGACATGATTCCGAACACGGGGTTGTGTCGACAGATGCTCGGCCCGATCTCATCGTAGTCCTTCTTCGAGTGACACACCTGGGAAAACTCCGGCTGAAAACACAAACAAACAACGGCCATATTTGTAGTCTTAATGTAATGTGACCAGACGTCCCAATTAGTCTTTAAAACAACAACAATCTCCCTGTTGTGAACCCATTTAAACCCACACATACTGTATGTTTATCATGTTCTGTCCCAGGCTATACTAACCAACTCTATAAAAACAAACAATACAACCACAGTGCATCTCACAATGTGTTAATAAATTACATTAGTCATTGCTAACAGTTAGCCATCAAGCCAATTAGCAATTAGTCTTTTCTACAGAGCTCCAGGGCACTAAATATCCCACAAAGGAAACAGAGGTTAATATTAAGGGGTTTGCTGTGCATTTGTGAAAGGGGCTTTAGTCAATGAGGGCAGAAGTCCTATAAACGTGTGTGTGTGTGTGTGTGTGTTTTGTTTACCGTGGACGCCAACATTGATCCTCCGAACCAGACGGCGTAGCGCTGCATGTGATGAGTGACGACCTGCACCTCCATTGGCTTTGGCTGCAAACAAAAAACCCCGAAAATCTGAAGTCAATCAATCGAGATGTATCTATATATAGAGGGATTCAAGATTCAAAGGTTTTATTGCCATTTGCACATAAGCTACATTTTAGAAATGGCAATGAAATTCTTCTGACCCGAGCTCCTCCAACAAGGCAATATATGATAAAAATACAAAAACACAAAATATAGCCCAATAGCACACATTTTAAATATGTCTCAGGGGGCTCTACAGGTTATACAGAATAAAAAAAACTGTCCTTAGACCCTCAAATTGGACAAATTAAAACCCCCCCAAAAAGAAACCCAGTCAAAAGGAAATGGAAGAAACCTAGTCAGTTTTTCCGTCCATCTGTCTCACCTTTAATCGTCCTCCGCTGAGTTCTTCACTAAACTTCAGTCGGGCGTCCACCACTCTCTTCAGGTCTCTCTGCACACGCCGCCCGAAGTCTCTGAACATCGTGGATCCTCCGGAGAGAACGATGTTCTGACACATATAAAACACAAACACAGTTAAAAAACGTATGGGTTTAGATTTCGTTTAAAAGGTGTTCAGGTGCAGAGATGGCAAAAGTACACACGTCCTTTACTCAAGTAGAAGTGTGGAGTCTATTTGTATATAACATTACAAGACTGATTCTTATTATTACATTATAGGCTTATTGTGCTCATTTGATGTTGCTATGACTTTGGAATAAATAGACAAAATCACTAATCCCAGGTTCACAGAGAAAGTTTTAGCTTGCCAGGTGCAGACACTGTGAGAAGACAACGGGTTTTTCAGAGCAGGACGTCGCTCCGGCCTTGAGGTGCTCCCACGCATAGCTAGGAAGCAGCATTATGAAGGTTTTCCACTATATCTGTAGAAAGCTTAGCGAAAACAAATTACTAGGATAGAGACAGAGTAGGGAGGGACTTCGCCGGCCGGCCGAATGTTGATTGGAGGATCAAGAGACTTTTGTCTAAGTCTGTGCACCAACGAGAGAGAGCCAAAATCTAAACCAAGTTTACTCTCCATCTAGTCTCAACCAATCGTAAATGTACGGGCAACGCCCTGTGTAATCAAATGTATTGTCGCACGAGGACGGGGGCTCTTTACGGAAATGGTGGTTACAGATTACAGCTTTGCTGCCTTTGATTTCTATGACGTGACGAGTCCTTGGCCAAGTGAATATATCTTTTGCTCTTTTATAGTAAATAGTTAAACTTAGAAGTAGTTTGTCTTTCCTGGAATTCTGAACACGATAGAAGTACTGACTAAACTTCTTTCCTCAAGTCAAAGTAAAGAGGCTTTGAAATGTACTTCAGTAAAAAGTACCCATAACTAGCAGCTGTTTTAAAGAGTACCTGACCTCCCTTTATATTAATAGAACAATAATGTCATTGTTAGCTAATGAATGTTTCCATGCTGAACAACGGCAACATGACAACGTTTCCATTGGTCCCTCTTCTTTAGAGAAGACCAGGAAATGATGGATACACGGATCGTGTTCAAATCAATAGGCACGCAATGACTCTAAATAATAATGATCACGCCACCAAACACACATTCAGACTAAAGGAACCAGCCTGTTTGGGAAATGAGAGAAGTAGAAAGTACAGGTATTTGTGTTCAACATGTAAGAAGTAGAAAGTACAGGTATTTGAGTTCAACATGTAAGAAGTAGAAAGTACAGGTATTTGTGTTCAACATGTAAGAAGTAGAAAGTACAGGTATTTGTGTTCAAC